GTGACCCGAAAAATGGCGCCAACTCGGTAACCCGTGGGCCAATGAAGTTTAGTAAAGAGCGCGAACGGAAGTGTGATGTAAAATTACTCATGCTAAAAATTTTCATAAAAGTGACCCGAAAAATGGCGCCAACTCGGTAACCCGTGGGCCAATGAAGTTTCGTAAAGAGCGTGAACGGTAGTGTGATGTAAAATTACTCACGATAGAAATTTTCATAAAAGTGACCCGAAAAACTGCGCTAACTCGGTAACCCATGGACTGATTTTAACAAAACTTGTTTTATTCTGTTTCTATTCTCATTTCATTACAAATATGGCACTATTGTGCACCATTTTTGCTGTATTTAATTACAGACAAGTAAACAAACAATCTCAGAGTTTTAGTAGTATATGGATTAAAACTTTAGTTTGGTGCTTTTTGTTATATTATACTGACCTCCATTTCTCATATTTTGTCAACAAAATTTTAAGTATCAAATCCAAGACATTGATACAAACAAAGAAGTCAATCTATATTAGAATTATTCTACCTTACATTAATAACTGTGTGTGTGATAGCAATTATTATGGAAACCTATAAGAAAAAGAAACTCCATCAATCTAATGCAAACATATAGTGTATTATATTTTCTAAATATTTTAACTACCATGTTATGTGGTAGGAAGAGACAGAAGTACATGAAGGTCCTGATTATCTATTAAGAATCCAAGACAATGCAGGCTTGGGATTCTAGGTCCTCCAGGACGTGGTCAGCTTCACGCTCTTCTCTTACTAAATACCTACCCCCTGTAACCTCACACATTGCATCAATTGGAGAACTGTCAGGGGGCACTACAGACCCTGAGTCTCGCTCCATGTAAGGGGTTCCAGCCAAACGCAGTACTAGTGCAAACAATCTCTGGTCCCATCGGAAGGGCTCCTTAGTTAGCTCAGATCCAGGCATGGAGGACATTGGAAGGTTCAGCTATGAAACACGAATAAATAGAGAACATACAATATATATAGATGATGTTCTTGTAAAGTTCTTTTTCTTTTTAAAATATAAGAAACTTAAGACCTAGTTCATGAGCTACAAAACTTATAATGTTTAAGAAATTATTCACAACTTTTCCTGACTAAAGTATTCATTACTAAAGAAACTTACTGAAATATTTCTGTTTATAGATACTTGCTAATAAACACTGTTTACAGAAGCTTTAATCATTATCAAGTAATTTATTATTTGATATAAAGAAGTGTCTATATTCATTTATTGCTAAGATATCTATATCATTGTTTTTTCTTAAATACCTTAACCCTATGATTACTCATGGGATCTGTAGACCACCAGCTTTTTATCATATTTTTCTAAATTAATTATACAGAAATTGCCTGTTGGTCCAAGAGTTGTTGTTACAGGTTTCCTAATAACATACAAGTTACACCAAAATTTTAAACATAAATACCATTAATACTGATCTATATCACTATTTACTGCCATGATCACATATGTATTTTACATGGCAAATAAGCAATTTTACCCAATATTTTATGTCAGTTCTTTACACTTAGTCTTGTAACTGGCAAATACATAACATTGCTCAATATGATGCAAGATGTGGACCCTAACAACAGTGATCAGTAGAAAAAACAAGTCAGTAATATGAGAGTCAACTGTATACTTGACTATGATTTGAGACTTAGACTCTATTTAATTGTACTAACATAAACAAATGTCTGATTCTACATATTCATACAAAACATTTGCTATTTTTAGAATTATATAATATGGAATGCTTAACACTCCAGTATAGGCATGATCATTTTCACCAACCTATAACTATTACATAACAATATAACTATGCATACTATAACTCTGAATTTATTAAGTGTATCTTCACAAACCTTGGTAAGCTTTTAGTAAAATTACAAGTTTGCTGTAAACAAAAAATCAGAATTTTTGATAAAGTATTCATATTAAAAATTTGTTCGTGAATTTCTGAAGCATTTACAGTGTCAATTCTGAATGATTCACGATAATAAAAATATTTTTTCATTTTACAGTTTTAATATTATATTTGCATAACATCCAGTGCCTCCTAAATGAATATCAAAAACGTTTTTGAGGTAAAAGTTTATATTTTATCTACCATAACAATAACTGTAGCTAAATCATCAATATACAGTGATACAAAATTTTGAAAGTTATAAAATAAAATGAGCAATATCTTCAACTTTATTATCTTCAAAGTTTCAACTCTTCACCTTTTTATATAAATTTAATTTTATAGTTTTATTGCCTGGCTTTTACAATGTTTTTTTTTTCCCCCATGCTTGTAGAGCAACACATCACATTGGTAATATTAACAGATTTCTACACACTTACATACTCATGCATGCAGCTTTGGACTTGTGCACTCATAGTTATTTAAGTGTAAATTTATTTTTTCTCTATGCTTTTCTTGACAGAAAAGTTAACTTACTTTCAAATATGCTTTATAAAACATAAATAATACATAAGTTCACTAAAACAGAAGTTTTAACTAATCTATTTAAGTTAAAAATAAATTGTTAAATGCCATACCAACACGTACCTAATCAAATCCTTTACTAGTCTAACAGCTATTGGCACCAACTTCCAAAGGACCGATGCCAGCTTGAAATTGAAAATAAGCTATTTCTATTGGTTATAAACATGCATATCAAATATGAGTACATGGTTCTGAAAAATGCCTTAAAAGTTAAGGATAGACTGAAGGAGTATCTGTTATGGGTTGAAAAAATATTGATATCTCACTAAAGGGAGAAGTTAGGATGTTGAAACTGTAGACTGTACGTTGGAACTGTTTATAGATTGTGTCTAGGTTAAGTCAGACAGTGTAGCTACTATAATACTGAAGCTATGCAATCTAAAAAAGGAGAATTCAGAAAGCAGGTGTGTTACACGACACAGAGAAATGAAGATTGAGAATTTTAAATATCCTCTTCTGAAATTAAGAAACAATAACTTAATTAATATAAAAAATGAATTATAAACTACATTCTGATGCTAATTTTATTGACATACATTGATAATAAAGTTGTTGAACTTAATTTTAAATATAACTGTGAAAATATCATGACATGTGCAGAAGAGCCAGGCCTGTATTGAGAGAATTAAAAATTATTAAGAACAAAATAATATTTACATATCTTGTATGGAAGCAACAAGGATTGGTTGTTAAATTGTGGCTTGAGAATAAACAAAATTTGCTGAAATACTATTGACTGAACACAAAAACTTCTGAAATGAAGTCATGTTAGTCAGAGATGCCAAGGTGTCATAAATTTTGTGCATAATATCATTAAATACTGTATAGTACATACCTGGGAGTCTGAAGAAGAGAGTTTACCACCATCAGTAATAACTACTATAATGGATGGTTCCAAATAAAATGGACATCGACCTTGGCCATATGTATCAATCCCTGTTTGCATACGATTCACATTCAGCAAGTCAAAGGCATTTCTTAGTGCTGGACCCATTGTTGTTACTCCTATAGCATTTAGGTTTTTTAACTCATTCATAAAAGTTGCATGGTTTTCTTTCCAACCAGCCTGTAACATAAAACAACATTATTCAATAGCTTATCACAGGAAAATAAGTTGCCTTCACCAACAGTGAGGAATAACAAAAGTAATTGAAAGTTCTAAATAAAAGAAGCATAAAATGCAAAAACTATGCAGGGATGTTTCACTATTAATAATTAATTCATGTTTAACTTTCTAATAGCCACTAGTTGTGAGATACGATGTGCTGAACTGAAAAACCTTATTTAATTCTGCACATCAAGGTTCCAAGCCAAATAAAAAAACAGTATCCTGGTATTTTTCTTCCTTTTCTCTCTGACCAAAAGGTGACAAAAATGTATTTTTAACAGTCTTCAATCACTCTTTATAGCCATCCTACAGTCATCAGGTAAACTACAGTAATATTTTTATTAATTTAAGAATATGTATCTTTATATAAATGTACAAGTTATCCATATCATAAATATTGTATATAATTCATTTGATATTTAATGACTGTCATAGCTAGAACAAAAATGTAAAAAAAAATAAATAAAATAAAATTCCTTGATTGATTGACCATCACAAATATACTAGACGCTTATTAACATGTAAGTAAAGATTATACTTAATCCAAAATTTACTTTTCCTGATTACTGGAACTACAAAATAAACATGAGGTAAATGGAAAAATAAATTATAACAGAATATAACTCTTATAAAGGTGATATATATATAGAGAGAGAAGCATTATCTGAGAGGTAAACAATTTATGCAGTAACTTAGATCTGGTTTTAAAAAATATACCCAATCCTACATATATATTCCTCAAAACATTTATATCAGTCAACTAACTTCACACACACATACATACACAAATTACATGCATGATTCCTGTATTTCTAAGATATAAAGCTATAAATTTTCCTTATTAAAAACAATTGAAATCTACATGCACAAAACAGCTTTGTACAATAATATGAAATTGTCAATTATATGTTTTACCTTGACGTGTACAGGTGGTTCTTCAAAAGTGAGCAGCATGTACCTGTCTCCTCTACTAGCAGAGTCCCGCTGTCTTATCTTTGGAATATTTTTTATAAGTATTTGGGTTAAAAAAAATTAATTTAACCAAAAAATTCCTAAATATGAGTTAAAACGAAACACAGTGAAACATAAGTTTATAGTTACATCGTAAGGAAAAACAGATCACATGTATACTAGAGATGCCTAATGATTAAGTACACATAAAGACTATACATTATGAAAAAAAATCTGGCAACAGTTATACTATAATGGATGTAAGTACAGGCTGTGTTTAATTAAGATGTGGTTAGTAAAAGATACAAGATGTGTGTACTAGAGATACCTGATGGCAGTTAAAGTAGGATAAAAAAGTGGAATTGCATGTAGTACAACTGACACAGCCAAGGAGATGAAATAGATAATTAGTAAATACCTTGAAAAGTACCTGAAATAGTTTTTAAGTGGAATGAAGAACCAACATAAATAATAAAATAAAAAACTGTTCATTGAAAAAGTACAAAATGGTAGTCTGATAGTCATATTGGTCTGACTTGTTCAACCAGCACCACCAAAAAAAAAAAGATTACCAAAGAGAAACACGACAAATCAAGCTTTTAAAGGAATCAAGAGTGCTACCATCAAAAAAGGTGTGGCTGATACAGGCTAGCAGATATCAGAAGCTACCCTCTGATATTTGAAATTCATGATTACATTACAATATCTATTTCTTCAATATATTTTAAAATGCATCACAGTAAAACATTCCAACAAAGAAAGTTGAGTTAAAAGTGATATTTCTATAAACATTATAACATGCATGCCAACAATCAACCTGTGCTATAATACAAAGTAGACATAGCTTTAGAGCTGCTTAAAACTAGGAGTGACACATAATGCCAAGTCAGTTGGATAAATATCTTTCTTGAGCATGTACACATGTTAGCACTTTTTATTAGTACGGTGATCTTGAAAACATACTGATACCTCCTAGGATTACACAAATGAAGTAACAACTTATGTCAAATTTATGTGTGGGTCAAATAATGACAACAGGTTTTGAAATACGTGTTCTCTATTCTATTTTAACAAAGTAAATGAATTTTTGAATGACATAGATGAGCGTGTGTGTGTGTGTATATATATATGCATACACAAAAAAAGGAAAAAGTGTGTGTGTGTGTATATATATATGCATACAACAAAAAAAGGAAAACCAAGGCTAGAAAAAAGAAAAAGAACAACCTATTTAATTTCTATGTTATTGACCATTATGACTATGAAATGTGTCGAAGCACCCACTTTAAAATATAAGCATAGTCTGTTTTAAGAGCCCCTTTTCATTTTTATGCAGCCAGTTCACTACAATAGGCTACCTGCAGACAGTGAAAGATGGTAGATATGTAGGATATACTGAGCTTGAGCACTCAGACATGCTTTTAAAGCTTAAATCTAATTAATCTGAGGTGTATTCTTATCATTGTGTAGGCTGTACTTGCACAGATCTTATAATTCCTATATTGCAGTTTGTGTCTTGTTGTTATTTGTTTATACTTTTTAAAATTACTTTATAAAGCTTTCAAAATGCTGTTAGTAAAGGATTATTTCATACTGTTACTTATAATTATTAAACTTAATTTTTGTTAGAAATAATCCAATAATTATTAAAAAGAAACCGTTCACTCTTACACTGGTATGAATTAAAATACAAAATATTATAATTTTCATGTCAAGAAAAACTACAAAAAATAAATTTGAAAAAGTGTATATCAAGATTTCAGGCTTTAACCATGTTAACTTCAGATTACTTAGAAGTTCTTAGTGTTAAACCTACAAGAATACAGAAATTTAAAATTCAAAGTATGGGAATATACAATATTTTTATATAAAAACTGTATGAGTTTGAATGAAACAAAAGTTTTTCCCTCCTCTACTCCATTCCACAACCACTTATTACCATCCTTCTTACAAAATTCAAACAGAGAAATTACCTAAACTGTTGATTTTCTTCAAGGTAATCATTCTGTAATATAATAAAAGTATATCAGCTAATGAACTAAGATAAGAAAAGTTTTCCTAGGACTTCATAATTTCCCAACTATTTTTAAAGAAATCATTACTTTTCCTAAAAGAAACAACAATTTTCAGCAAAATATAGAAACAGTATCAAGGACTAGGAAAACACAGGAATGTTATACACACACTAAATTTATAAAAGAAAAATTAACAAAATATGATAACTTTTTACTTCTCATAACATATCCATAGGTTGAATACATTATCTTACAATGATTTTGGAGCCTCATCATCTCATTATACTCCATGTCACCAGATCTGGTCATGGTCTATCTGACGAAACTGCATCTTGATAATAGCCCTGCAGCAAGGTTTTCAATGCAAAAGGCTCTCAAAGCACACTCCTCCTCCATGTAGCATTCCATAATCTATCCAGTATATGTAGATGACAGTTTCTTAGTTTCTGTTTCAACACTGTGACCACAGAGATATACATCGGCTGCATTTGGCGACTTGACCAGTATGTCTTTGTATGGAATAGCATGAATACTCATTTAATTTTTCAGCTGCTTACGTTATGGAAGCAGCGTGTGTATCCGTAACTTGTATTACTTTTTCAAACAGAGATCCTTCTTGATTATGTTGTGTACTGCTGCCTGGGTCAGGTGAATAGTTTTAGTCACTTAGTGGCTGAAGACTTAGGGAGGAAAGACTGGTCTGGAGAAATAAGAATATAAGGATGATGGAAAGATGTATAGGATGAAGCAATAGCATAAGGAGCTGAACAATGGTGATGACAGGCAGGAAGTACATGGAATATGTCTGAAAAAAAAAGTGGAAGAAGTTGCACGTTACTAATGACTCGAAGGGGCATGGGTAAAAGTGTGCAGGATGACACTGGAGTCCCAGTCAGGCATGAGGACAAGCAAATGTGTCTATGGATAAAGAAATGCCTTGCAGTACCGAGAAAGGTGAAATGAAGACAAGGCTGCTTGATAACAGGCAATGGTGGAGATAGCTGAACCCTGTCAAACAGTCAGGTAAAAGGAAGGGAGAAGTTCAATGGTAGAATGTTCAGGAAGGTGATGACAGATGGACCAACGTCAAAAGCCACACCCCTTACACATGTAGATAGACTAAGTAGAAGAATGCCCGGAATTGGAAAAGATTACCAGATCGAAAAGTTAGGTTCAACAGGCAATGGACCAGACAAATCTAAACGTGAACATGGAATGACTAGATCACTTGATAGAAAGGAGATGTTGAAGCAACAGGGTATAACTGGCAGGGGAAGAGGGGGTTGGGTTGTCAGATGGCATAGAAGAAGGTTAAGCCAGCCAGAGGGGTACCACCAAGAGGACATGACAAGGAGTTTCCAAGTCAAGGCCAGGATCCAAGGTAAAAAATTGAAAGGTGGGTGAGCATTATAACAAGTATAAGAACAGACCCGCTGGAAGGCAGCAACAGCCAGGGCCAAGGAATGGAGAACAGATGACAATAAGAGTGGAAGCATGAAACTAAGAGAGTTGGCAAGGCAACAAAGAGTGGAGTCCCCAAGAGAGCACTCTCAACAGAAAACTGTGGGAAAAAGAGACCATTCTGTAAGTAGAACGTGGACTGGCCAAGAGAGGCAGTCTGCAACCTGGTTCATAAGGAAACCAACCCATTGAGAATTGGTCCAATAAGGAAGGTCTAGGGTTTGAAAGCAGGGGTCCTGGAACAGATTCCCTCATGGTGGTTAATTTAGGAAAATCCACGGAGTTGTTGGAATAGAACAACGAAATGATCCACTAGGAGTGGTAATAATGATATCATATCAGACAGACTACCAGAAGTTCAAACCTGTGGATATAGAGAAAGGACTCATTCTGGAACTGTGTTTCAGATGTAAAATTGTCATTAAGGAAGGCTCCTCAACAAGGGGGTGGAAGGATCAGTGAAGAAGTTTAGGTAAAGTTGGGGTGGAGGTAATAGAACACACATGATGATATTGGATCAGTCCAGTCTCCAATACAAATACTAGAATAAAGGAAGGGACAAGAGAACCATTAAGGTTAAAGATTCATCTGAGACATCTCTCTGATCATGCAAGGGCCAAATGAAAAAGTGCATATGTGTGTGACCTAAAGGTATAAGCAGTTCCCATGAAGCTTAGGTCTCTAAACACTAAACCTCTCTTGCAGAATGAGTAGGATAGGTGCAAATCCTGGGGACTACAAGTTCTATAACTCACAGGCAGATGGAAGAAAGCTGATCCCAGCTTTGAATGAGTTGAAAAAACCACTCTCTCTCTCTGGTGAATAAGATATGGAGTGGGAGTGAGGAAACGTTGGAAGTGGTGCCAAACACAGCCTCCACAAGAAGTTGGACATAGAGGGGAACAGAAGGAGGAAAGTAAACATGATGAGGGCTGAAAGAAGGAGGGTAAGAGAACTAGAGAGAAAGTCCATGTTTAAAAAGTAGAATAACCCCTGCTTGGACAGAAATGTGAGATTAAAGGAGCTCAAACCATGACAGCATGGCAACTGAGCATGATTGTGTAATGTGGCTAGGGCTATAAGTCAGGCCGTTCTGTATGGAAGAAATACACGAGATGCCACAATAATCAGGTGCAGGGAAAAGCATCCCAGACTTATGTCCCAAGGCAAATCAAAGACCCATTTGGCTGGACCAAACCACAAGAATGGCTCAGTTCATAACATGGTGGAATGTCCTGCGCAACACACCCAGGTAACACCTCAGCCCTTCTTCACAAACACCTCTCAGTTTCATACCAATGGGATTGTACCACCTAACGAGAAACTCTCCATATGGATTTCACCAGCAGTGACAATTTCTTATACTTTACTTGAAGAAACAGGGAGAGAGACCATCAGATAGGTGCCTCGACTGTATCATCAGGCACAATCAATTGGTAGCAGGTCCACACTAAGAGACAATGCAATGGGTTACTGTAATTACTGTACTGTGAGGGTAGGCACACACCTGGTGCTGTATATATTTTCTTCATAAATGCAGAATGGCCTGGAAAATAAAATATATAG